TTGACTATTTTGTGCTCTGTACCTTCTTAATTCTTCTTGATCTAACTTTTCGTTCATCCTCTTTTTTTTTTACTTCGTGTCATTCCATATGGCTGATTAAAGTTCATGATTGTGGAAAGTTAGTTCAGGAATAGTAATTTAATCATTCCAGAAAAGCGATTCTACTGCTCGTGCCACTGTATTTTTTAAAAATGTGCTCGTCGTGTGCAATTGCGTCGTGTTCATAAGATTTAACAGCTTCATTTTGTTGAGACTCGTATCACAGCTCGATTCGTTCTTTCATTTCACCTTTTCGTTTAAGCAAGTAATTCTTTTTTTAAGTTGTGTATGAGCGGATGGTGTGCAGAATCGGATTGCTCCCCTCGTCGAAGTGCTCGCTCACCGGAACGTGACCGTACAGTTCATCACTTTGTAAATGACCGCCTATCCGGAGAATTCTTTCACAATCTCACAAGCTTGCGAAGGTAAAGTAGTGGCTTTGATCACTTTGTTGAGACAAAACTCAAAGTTTTAGATGTGATGAGCTCTGTGACGTTGTCTTGGAAGCCTCCGGACCAGGGGATTCTGGCGGAGCTGAATCTGAGAGTGCACCACCGATAATTATTGCTGCGCATAAGGTGGTATTAGCTGCAGCATGTCCATATTTTAGGTAAGCAGACCCTCGTTTCTTTCATTTTTATACTCTTCTTGTTATCCTTTTTTTGGTTTCTTGCTCAACTTTTTTTGCGAGTTGTGTATGCATGTAGTAAATGAGAACAGATAGTAATCAGCTTGCAAAGTTTAATAAGATTATTGACCTCCCAAGTGAACCCTAGAAGAACTTCTTCTTTTCAGGGCAATGTTCACCAGCAAAATGGTGGAGTCAAGCAAGGATAGGATCTTCATTAAAGTAATTACACTAATGTTTCTTTTTCAATCAAGTTCCACAGAAGTGTTTTGCATACCAGGATATCGATGGTCCGACATTGGCGCTGCTGGTGGAGTATATGTACAGTGGCCACTTGGATATTGATGAATCTAACGTGCAGCTCTTGCTGAGTACTGCTACAATCCTTCAGTTAGCCTGTGTTCGGGATGCGTGTTCAAGGTAAGTATATCGATTGTGAATTCTGGCATTTCTTTGATTTCTTTTCATTGGGCTTAGACTGGCTATCAAACTTATAAATTGTTCTCTTACACTTTCGCCTTTTTCTGGTTTTTGCATAAGTGAAATTTAATCAGTGATTCATTCTGAATGATCCATTTACCTTAATATCTCTTTCTGGTGAATTCACGTTGTCCTTTTGAATCACATCATCTCAAAATTTACTGGAAA